AGAGACAAAGCTTTTTAATCCTGTTTATTTCGTAAAAGACTTGACCAACTCCGGTGGGACTAGAGTCGCATTTTTCTGCCTTTGTTCCTTCCTCTGTACCCCTGGTCTTGTCATCTATACGCACCAACCTATCCACTGTGCCCAAAAAAGTATGTAGAAGGAAGCTCAAGAAAACAAGGGATTACCTGTTGAGCATCTATTTGTTCCTCAAGTCCATCTGTAAGGTCAAGCGAGGATACAGCCCAATTCCCCCTCCCAGTCAATGGAAAGGTGCCTGCCTGGCCAGAGGCCACAAGGAGCAGAGCAGCTCATACCCCACTGTTTCCCGTGGTCCTTGACTGCTAACACGCTTCACCAGGCTCTGTTTGTCCTTGGTCTGCACACAGGCCTTTCCCAACACAGTTCCCTCCCTCTCCCTCTCCCCTCTGCTAGATAAGCCCCTACCTAGCCTTCCCTGGCCTAGCATGGAAACTCAGCTGCCTGGCCATCGGCTCTTCCCCAGATGTAAGTAATAAAGGCTATGTCTCTCCGCTCTGGTCCCCCCCATGTTTATTTTTGGACTAGCAAAGAACAGCATGGTGCTCCCGGGTTGGAGCTCCTATAGTACACTATCTAAGAAGCTACTGTGTCAGCTCAGTTTGAGACATCTAATAACTAGAGACTGAGGAAGGACTGCATTTAGCATGTGTTCAGATACAAAGTGGAGCTCATTCAGAGGAGCATCCAGGATGATGAAAGACCAGGAGACTACACCAAATAAGGAAATGCTGAAGGAACTATTGACATTTAGACTGGAAAAGAAAAGACTCCAAAGATAAGAGAACTAGCCTTAAATATCTGATTTATCAGTTCTCATGGGAAGAGCGATGAGGCTCTGCCTGGTGACCCCAAGGAAGAGAGTTCACACAAAGGCCAAGAAGCTCATTCCAGCTAATGCTCAGAGCTGTCCAAAGACAAGTGGACTGCCTAGTCTTAGTAAAGGTATTTAAGCTCAAACTCAAAGACTGCTCGTATCCTTGTTAGTAACACATCCTTTCACTCTCAAAAGAGTCCTAGTTTGGATCTAAATTACTGGTCACCAGAAAGAAGGAACACAGCCCCTGAGCTCCTGGATTACCTGTGTACGTTTCAAAACACTTCCAAGCATGTCATTTTTAAATTTGCATATATAAGAGTTTTTAAGATACTACTCCTATTAATTGACTTGTCACTACAAGAATTATACTTTTTATCTACTTTTCCATCATTTCCATTGTGGTATTGAGCATATTTCTTCCCAGGCTTGCTCCATTTTCCTCCATCTGTGAGCTCCACTCCAGCAGAGGAAACAAGCCCAGGAAGGCTGTGCCAAATGGAAAAGGCAGGAAAGCGCTGTTTGACTTGGAATCCCACGGCATGTGGCAGGCAGGGTGGAGAAGCCACTGAGCTCTCTGAACAGAGTGTTCTTTGGGGCCTAGAGAATGTGGTGAAAGCATCTAAGTTCAAAACAAATGGGAGGGAAGGGCAGAAGGGACAAGCAAGTGGGACCAGGCCTGGGGTCCCCATGTGCCAGGGGAAACCAGTGTGTTGGAATACAGTTGTCTTTTCCTATTGCAGCACTGCTTTTTTAGCTTTGTGCTTCTTTTTGTTTTTTAAAGTAAATAAATCACAAACCTAGGGGCTAAAATAGTCATTTTTTTTAAATCCTTTTTCTTTCTGCTGCTCTGATAGGGTGTTTTCAGGCACCTTGTCCTCCAAATTGCTGATTCAATCGTCTGCATGTGTCATCTAGCCTGCTGTTGATTCCTTCTAGAGTGTTCTTCATTTCTGACTGGTTCTTTTTTACGGTTTCTATGTCCTCTTTTATGTTTATTATCTTTGTTTAAGTTCTCACGGAGTTCCTCCATTCTTCCCCTAGGCTCCCTGAGCACCCTTTGTTTTGAACTCTGTATCTGGTAGTTTGCTTGCCTCCACTTCATTTAGCTCTTTTTCTGGGGATTTCTCCTGTTCTTTCATTGGGGTTTTTTTCTTGTCTCCCCATTTGGGCTGCCTCCCTGTATTTGTTTCTGTGTATTAGGTAGATCTGCTATGCTTCCCAGTCTTGGTATGGTCGCCTTAGATAGTAGGTGTCTTGTGGGGCTCAGTGGAGCAGTCTCCCTGATCACCTGATCTAGGTGCTCCAAGAATGTCCCTTGTGTGGGTTATGTGAGCCTTCTTGTTGTAGTCGAGTCTTGACTGTAAAAAATAATCATTTTAAATTACAGTTTATGGGGAGACTTAGGAGACCTCAGTCAAAGAAAGTCATATAAGACGAAGTGAATAGGTCCTCCGACAGTCCGGGTGCCAGGTTGATGCTGCCTCAGTCAGAGGACTAGAGCAGACACTCCCTCAAGTTTCCTTCCCGTTTATGATGATTATTGTAAAGAATTTCAGCCCTGTGCACTGTGAGAGAACAGGGAGCCCTTGGCTGGGAGTCCCCTTGTCCCCTGCTTGGCTCTGGAAATTCATATTGCCTCACCTATTTGAGCCCCAGGGTCTACATGTGTCCCCATGAAACATGTAGAAGAGATGCTTCCAAGGCCTCTTCCAACCCTGAACTTCAGTGATTAAAGTCTAAAAGAACGTCGTTCTCCAGGTCAAATAATGACATGGAGAGAGTGGCAGGAAGAGAATTTGCCCATGAGTGTCTCCAAGTGTTTGCAAAAAGGAATCGAGCCAATGAGATATTCAAGCAGGGAAGTTCTAGATTTTTCCAGGAGGTCAATAACCTCTCTCCTACTCCATGTCTTGTGATTGTCAATGCAAGGGGCAAAAGCAACCTCAGATGGCCCCTTCTCTTCTGGAAATCTCCTCCAAAAATGGGTGGTCATGGTGACAGTGTCCCTTCTCCTAAGTGACCTGAGGAAGCTCAGATAGGAGACCTAGGTGTCATAAGCAACTGATTTTGTCATTAGCGAGGTCAGGCTTCAAGCTCCATGGACCAGGTGTACAAGTGGGTCACCCAGCAGCATGAGTTAAAGAAAACAACCCAGAAGGCAAAAATTGGCAAAATGTGGAACAGGAAGATGTCAAGGTAAAAGACCGTTAAAGCACCAGGAAGCCAAACAGTTGGGGACTGGTTACTTTCCCAGAGGGGAATTCTGTTCTGGGGTTCCCAACAGCACCCCAAACACAGTCAGTGGCCACAGGGGGCTCTGGACCAAGCAGTGACCAGTCAGTGTGAACACAGTGTTGGAGCAGCAAGAAAATATTCCAGCACATCCCTTTTTGCCTCTGGAGAGCCAGGTTTGGGTCTGGGGGAGCAACTGACAGTGCAGTCTGTAAGCCAGAGAACCAGGGCCCCTGAGGGGGCACGTCCCCTAAAGTACCCTGTGCAGCAGTGCCTCCTGGAAGCCAGCGAAGCGTGTGATGCTTTGAATGTAGCTGATTGTCATCTCTAGGCAAGAAGCCACCAATAAAGACTCAGGCCCGAAGGTGGGTGACATCATAATAGTACCTGTGTAGATTAATGTCTGTGTACCAGGCTTGACAGTGTGCATAGCTTTCATGTAGGCTATCTCATCAGATGCTTATGACAACCCCGTGAAGTAAATAAAACTGATATTATCAACCCCATTTTAAAAATAAGAAAACTGAGGCTCAAAGTGACCTAATGATATAGTCGAGCTCCCACAGCTAGAGACTGTCAGAGGGCAGGCTCTGGTGTCTGAATCAATGAAAGGCAGTATTTCAAAACAGAAAGAAAGGCATAACCAATCGTCTTTGCTTTGCTACAGAATCTTTTGTTCAGGGCCCTGCGGTGTCAACCCCAGGGAGAGAAGCGTGTGGGTTCTCCTGCGTACGAGGCTCCGAGTCCCTGGCAAATCAGAAGCCTCTCCCCTGTCACTCCCCACTCTACACAACCCCCCAGCATCTCCTAGATGGAAAAGTTAATAACAAGTCCTGCTGCACTCAGGCACCAATTAGTACTTAATGTATTGAACACCCACGCAGTCCTCACCAAGCCCTGCAGGGCTTTATGGCCACGGAGAAAATGCTCTTTATCCTCAAGGAATGTACAGGCTGAAGAGGAAGTAGGAAAAGACGCGTATCAAGTTACCCACGAGATAAAACGCCGCACAAAATGCCAGGGTTAACACGACATGAAATCTAATTACATGTGGACAATGCCCCCAGTGGGGGGAAAATCATTAGCGTTTGGTCATACTTCCATGTCTAAAATAATTGCTCGAACAAAAATATTTGCCTTGCTCCCTGTGTTTACTAAATAAAAACACATTTGCATATTTTCAAAGGCATGCTTACATTTTGCAAGCCCTCCATTTACTACAATTACAACTAATATACTGCCCAATTCCTTTTAACCTTTTAATTCCTTTTTATATTGATCACAACTATTAGTAAGAATAGCTTCCATTAATGAGCTGCTTACTCTGTGCCTGCACTATTAAATGCTTTATATTTGTTATTTAATTCCCTCTAAGACCCTATGAAGTAGTTATTATTATCTCCACTCTTCAGATATAGAAACTGAGGACTAGAGAGATTTATTTTTTTTTAAATATATCTTTATTGATTTCAGAGAGAGGAAAGGAGAGGGAGAGAGAGAGATAGAAACATCAATGATGAGAGAGTCACTGATCGAGCCCGCAACCAGGAATATGCTCTGACCGGGAATCGAACCCCGATCGCCTGGATCCTAGGTCGATGCTCAACCACTGAGCCACGCCCGGCCAGGCGAGATTTATTTTTCAATTACAGTTGACATTCAATATTATATTGGTTTCAGGTGCACAGCATAGTGGTTAGACATTTATATCACTTTCAAAGTGATCCCCCAATAAGACTAGTACCCACCTGACACCATACATAGTTATTACAATATTATCAACTATATTCCCTGTGCTGTATTTTATGATTTTATGTATATGTGCAGTCTAAAGAGTAAGACAAATGAACAAACAAAACAGAAATAAACTCACAGATACAGAGAACAAACTGATGGTTACCAGATAGGAGGGGCTTTGGAGAACTGGGTGAAAAAGTTAAAGGAATTAAGAAGTACAATCTGGCAGTTACAAAATAGTCATGAGGACTAGAGAGACTTTGAATAAACTCAAAGTCATATAGCTTGTAAGTGGAAAAAGTAGATTTGAACCAAGATCTTCCTAAATCCAAAGCTCTTTAAAAGTTTATATTTCCTCATTTTAGCTTTATGACATCCTCAAGAATCAAGTAGAAAAGGTTTTATTAATCCCATTTTAAAGATGAGAAAGCAGATTTATCCAAAGTTTCAGTGACTTACCGAAGAGTTTGGGCACTAACCCTGCAGCTGCATTCTACTTACAATCCATCCTATCGTCTTTCGGTGGTACCAGAAACTACTCACATCAAAATGGAAAACCAGAATGCTGTCATTAGCCTTCAGAGTGAGCAGGAGTGCAACCCATGCATTTTAAAATTGTTCTCTGCTACCTCGGTAGCATTGCACCCAAATATTAAAAATCTACCCTTTACCCAATAGAGAATGCGGACAGTTTGGAATCTTCAATGCCAAGCTGGAAATGACCCCATTTAAGAAAACTCCTGTCCTGGGCTGTCTCAGCCACATCATGCAGTGATGGTTGGAACCTTGAGCAGGCTCCCTGGAGCACTTATCCACTTAAAGCTGGCAGTTATGTTGGAATGGCTGATGACTCAGGAGACACCAAACTCCACTGGAATCCCTCTCCGCAAGCCCTCTTCACTCTCAAGTCTCCTCCTTGGAGATTCACCTTCTCTGAACTTCTGCCATATTTGTTAATCACTCTAGTAAGTTGTACAAAATGTGTGTCCAGGCCCTGGTACTCCTGCTTGCACAGAATCCTGAGAATTGTAGTTCTGCTGTAATTGATCAGAAAGTCAAGTCATGATCTATATAGTCACATTCTTAGGTTCCTCATGGGTAAAATAATATTAATAAGCCTACTTGACTGCTTTATGGGATTAAATGAGACAAAAAAGCCTGCAGCATAGTACATTGTAAGTAGTCAATAAATATTAGCTAGCCAATGTTATACTACATTATATAATTATTAATAATATATTATATTATACCTATTACTACTGATGAGCTTAGTATATTTAATTTAATTAAGAAGACTATGACTAATAATACATGGAATTGGATATTTAAAAAACAACCATGAATTGAATCATTTCTCAGCCAAACAATGATTTAAGAAGGATAAAGACAAGAGGTAGAACTATTCATATAGTCAGTTGGGATTATGTTGTGCCTGTGATGTCTGAATGGAGCAGGGAAAGAGGCAAGGTTGGAACCACCTACCTTTATGGGTTAGAGGGAGGAAAGGCTTGCATGAAGAGGTCGTGCTTTTGAGACCTTTGTTCCTTTACTCACAGAATCCCTACATATTCAATATTTCTATGTTATAAATTAAAAGCAATAGGCTTAGAGAGGACATGCCTTTCAGTAGAGAAAACTAGAAAAAAACATACCTAAATTTACATTTATACATACAAATATAATACACATATATGTTATTTGTACATATACACACAAATATATATGCATGTGTGTATATCTGTATGTATATATGCATGTATGTGCATATGTATACGTATGTGTGTATAGCATATATAAAGTCATGAGTTCACACCAATGCCTCTAATTCCAGTCCACCCCACATTGGGCTCCTTCTGGCCCTCCCCCACCCATATGTTGATGTTCCTTCCCCACGCAGGAATTCTAGCCCCAACAGCATGAACTTATTTCCTCATTTTCCCAATGCCACAATACATCTAAAATAGTTTCAAAATTGCTTAACACGCCCACCACAGGATGAATAAGGTATATATACTAAAAATAATTCAGGAGTTGGTTTCAATTCTCCCCACTCAGCCTCACCCGAGACAGAAGATAAATAGTCAAACACTGTGTTCATAAGTTACTTGGATTTGTTCTTTCTTCTGCTTTTTTCTCTTCAATGTGGTTGTAGTATTTATTTGAAATACAATTGGGTTCATTTGTTTCCATTTTTTTTCCAATTCTAGGTTTTTCTTTCCCTTCCCATCTTGCTTTAATTTTTGAAAATGTAGAGCATTAACATGCTTCCAAAAGTCAACTTTTGGAAGCATGTTAATATTATATATATATAATTACTATTATATAGTAATAGTATAT